GGAGAGTCGCCGCTCACACCACGAACAAACACCAACCAAAAAAATGCCGACCACTATAGCCACCGCCTGTGCCACACCATATCGCTACCTAGATCCACACCATACCATCACGAGGTTGCCGTTCACAATAGCATCGACCAACAAAAGCTTAGCAGAGAAGAAGCATGCTCACAATTCCATCATCGTCGTCGTAGTGAGCAAAGAAGAACCGGTGCTCACACCGCCAGGGAAATGCCATGAATCGTCGGTGAAATTTTCAATCGTCACAAGACGTAGTTGCTGCACTTCTGCCTAAGTGAGCCAATGAACGATCGTTGATGTGAGTTCGGTGGTAACTTCCGGTAGTGGGCTTGGTCTCCAGCACTGGGCAGCGGCACCGGAGACGAGGGTTATCTAGAAAGAGTGAGGAGAGGAGGAAATCAGAAGGTGTTGTGAAATTGAACTTTAGGGATAAACTGGGGATGAAATATTTAGTATTAATATTATTAAATTAATATATGAATTCTAAATAAAAAACCTTCCCACCAAATTTTTGCATTGTGATCTTTAAATGCCTGGACTCTTGTAATTTTCACTTATTAATATTTATGATTTCATTCCCAAATTTTATTTTCTTTTTATTTGCTTTTTATTTATGTTTGAATTTTTAATATTTATTTCATGTCCATGAATAATTTTTCCAACTAGTAAACAATTTGAAATATTGAGAAAGTAGAGATAGTTCAATAATTTATTATTATATTTTTTAAGTTTCACTCGATAACTAGAAAAGTTATTTGACAATGTGAATTTCTAATCACACCATACTAGTTGTGCTGTAGATCAATGTGGTTTATTTTTCCATGTGAGACCCTAAAAAAACTTTAATCCGGAAAAAACCTCATCAATGTCAAAACAATAAGTTTGTTAATGTATCAAAAAAGTTGACTCAACGTGTGTTTTAAGCATTTGAAAATAGAACATGGATCGTGTCTTACTGTCACGTTGTGCTCTACTATTCTTAAACAATGAGGTGACTCAAGCGAGTTAAAAACCTAGAGAATCGGCCCAGTAAACACAGACGTTTCAAATGAGTCAATTTGTCCTAGTCCTACACCTTGGTATGCTTAAAAAGGAAAAATGCAACTCCGCCTATTTTGTATCTATAGATGTGTCTTAAAAAGGAAAAATGCAACTCCGCCTATTTTGTATCTATAGATGTGTGTAGCTTCTAAGTATGTCTTATTGGGAAAATTGTATGCGCAGAGAAAAAAGGTAGAATTGAAAAATATAGCCTAGATTCTTGTAGATATCTGAGTTATAGTAACACACGACTGGGACGCGAATATATTTAGTGACTAAGAGACTGTAGAGTGTATACACCAGCTTTTGTATTGGTTTTGAGATTTGTAATTATATTAAATTGAACTTTCTCTCACAATAAATCTACAATATACAGTATTGCTTACCACATTTGTCGAGACTAAAATTCCCAACAATTTCATTCATTTTTAGGGCATCTTCAATGGAGATCCCAAAACATTAAAATGTTTCATTTTGCACCCAAAAAAATGGTGCAAACCTCCTTCAACCAGGCGCCATTTTTTGCACCATTTTGGTGCACATGTGCAACACTATTCCTCTGCGCCAAAATGGTGCAAAGGAAATTTGTATAATTTTTCCCTTCATTTTGGTATAGAACAAGATTTTCTTTCCCTTGTGTTTCTTTTTTGTTATACAATTTATTTTAATTCTTAATTTAATTGTGTAATTGTTATTATCATTATTATATGCATTTGTAATAAATTTTAATCATGTAATCAATAAAATTTTTTTATAATAATTTATGTAGTAGCAAAAAAAATAATTAAATAATTTTTGAGATAGATGAATTGTTAAGAATTACAAATGAAAAAAAAATGATGAAATAATGTTCATTTAGTACAACTTTTGGTTTTTAAAATTGGAGACAGCTTTCAATTTGGTACAAAATTTGCACAAAAAGGGTGCAAAATTGACCTCAAATGTTGGAATTTGGTTTAAAAGAGATGAAAATTAATTAAGTATAAAACCATGAAAAATGTGAAAAATAACTTTGGTGTCAATTCGGCCAAATATTCGAACTTGATCCGATAATCAAAATATGCAAATAAATAGACTAGCTTGTTCGATTCATTTAGTAGATGATCGTGATATATTTAAAATCTCAAAATCAATTTCCAAAAGAATAAGAAATTGTGATCCAAAGTCGGAAGAATTTTTTTTCGATTTTTAGCACTTATGACTTTTGAGTGATAGCTCAACATCAAGCGAGCACCGAGGTTTCTATAAATTGGACCCTTTGGACGTTATCTAGGCATCTCAATTCATATTTTTGAGTCTTACATAAATAACTCTTCAAACTTTTCATTCAAAATCATTCTTTGAATATAGAATAATCTGTTCAAGTTCAGTATTGCTTTGTTGTTGGAAGTGCTTCTACTGCAAAGAGTAATCCGTTGTATCTCGAGAGACAATTGCCGTTACTTTGTTAGCACCATTACAAGACAAATTCGTTTAAATGAAAGAGTGTTATCAGTTGTCTGGATAATTTCATCCAAATTTCTTCTTTTTCTAATTTTTGGTTCTATCATTTTCCTTTGTAGTTTAACATCATTTTTGTGTTGTTGAACTCGTGCTAAAATATTGTCCACGTATAAAATATCCTTTATACCATATCCCCCAACAGGTGTAACTATTGCCTATTGGAGATGGCTCGAAGTGAAACGTTGGATGATGACGTGGGTCAAAGTGAAACATTGGATGATGACGTCCGGAACAGTTCAATGGCTCTTATATATCTACAACTGCAAGAGCTACGGTTCGTCAAGATCCCACAAGCGTACAAGTTCATTATACAAGTAATAATCGTGATGAGAGAGTTATCGTCCCACAGGGAATAATGATTAATTTTAGTATGTTTAATATATTTAAATTCGTGTTTGCAATCAAAAGACGATCGAATGAATAGCTAAATAATTTTTATAATTAAAACTTACGAAATCAATGAAAAATGATTTTAAAAAAATTCAAGTGTGTGAACGTATTGGATTTTCGACGCCATTGATTAATTCTTAATTCTAATTCTCAACCAGTAATAATTATCTTAATTCATGCAATTGCGACGATTGATAATTTCACTTTTATTTATTATTTTTTCCCAAGATAGAATAAACATATGATTACCACGAGACGATCCTATTCTTAGTTCGAATTCATATGGCAAACATGCATTGACATTTATGATTATCACATATTATCGCACATGCTACAAATATTATGTCTAATATTTATTGTCCGTATGTACCAATAATAGTGTTCTACCTATTGTGAGTTTTTCAACACTACGAATAAGCAACTTATTGTCCTAATGGTACGCAAACATCAAAATAATGTAATTATGGATATTAATGGAATCACACCTCAAAAATTTAGATAAAAACATAGGTCTCGAATTAAAACTAAGAATTAAACAATTTTGTCATCCATTCAATACATGAAAAGACTTAGCCTAGCATAATTTTGGGATTAAACATATAAAAGAGGAAAGAGATCACCGAGAGTCGACGGAATGTGATTAACTTGTAAAGGCTGAGCAAGTATGTATTTTTTTCCAATTTATGTGCCTTTTGCCGTGTGTAATTTCACCCTTGCAGTCACCAACTTTGTGTCTAGATTAAATAATTTAGCCACCCAATGCGTATATCTATTCAATTCCAGCAGCTCAACTTTTTTTCTATCTTCTCCAATAAATACCAGGTAGCCTCAATTCCTTTTCAATTTCTCCACTTTCTTTTCCACTCAAACTGCCGTTATTGTTTGTGTATATATAATTTAAGGCAGCAACCAGGTTGTATTTTTTTTTCCAACTCCCCTCCAATCGGCTGCCCAATTATATGTGTGAATCTCTCAACAATTTCCCAAGCGGCTGCCTTTTATACTCCAACCGTAGTCGACGTCTTCCCCTCCAATTTTCTCCCCAGTTGGCTGCCAAAAAAATCCTCCAAGCATATATATATACATATATATATTATAGACCAGCAGCCCCTTTTCTTTTACTCCAATTTGAAGTCCTCAAAAAATAATCCCTTCAATCTGCCGTTTATATATATACTAGTTTCTGGCCATGTAATGCATGGCTTGAATTTTCTAGAAGGTGATATTAGTGTGTTGACTTACTTAAGTATTGAGTATTCATGAGAGAGAACTACATTGAATGAATTTTTGGGAAGCGAAGAAAGTATTTAATTGGTGCATAAGGAAGCCTGACAAAAAACCAGTAAAGATAAAGAGCTAATTATACGAAAAAAAGTAGAAAATATGTTAACATTGGATATGAAATATTGAAAGCAGTTCAAGACAATAATTTTTGTTATGAGTTTTGAAACAGTCGTTTCATCGAGATTAACTTCACAAGCAACAACTTTTGTAGTGTTATCCTTCAATGAAAAAAAAAAAAAAAGCAAGAGTAAGGGAAAGATCTAAACTTTTAATTGCTTCAAATTTACCAAATGTGCAATAGAAGCCATACCATACCCTATTGGTCAGGATTTAGCACAATAATGCATTTGAATCAGTCAGCAATAAGGCATTAATTGTACGAGCAGCTATCTGACGACACAAGCATCATTAATGCTTGTTGTTTCAGGAACTGTCAAAGCTTTTGACAATAACTATCATACAAAGAAAAATGGAGATTTTGTTTTCTAAAGAAATATAGATATAAATAAGTATTTTACACAGTATCTTGTTGTTCTTTGTTCAAGCCTAAAAAACAACCATATTTGACAATGTAAAATGCCCAAGACAAAAAAGCTTGGCTGAACATTCAAATAGCACAATCATGTATAATAACTTGAGAACTACTGGCGTAACGGAAGCATAGGATGAATTGGGAATAACAAGAATTAACAATTTAATTAATGGAGACAGTGGGCCACTGAAAAGCAAATACATGGCTTAAAATGATGAAAGAGGGGACACAGGAAAATCCTTTTTAACACTACTATCAAAAGCTCTTTATTGCACCTTACATGAAAAATATTTAAACAGTTAAAGTTTGTCTGATATTAGGTAGTATGACATCTGGATAAAACTGAGCAAGTGTATCTAATATCTTTACAACATCAGACCCCTTGAAAAAATACGAACTTGTAAATAGTCCTTGCTGATTTTAGGATGTGGGCCTACATGAGGGGCTGAGCCTCCAATCAAAGGTGAGTAGGTGTTGGGGATTTTTTTTTATCGATGGTGATGGATGAGTTCAAAGGCTTTGGTGACGATTGAAGGCTAAATATGTGATGCGGATCTTTATGTGATAGTGTGTACATGTGTGTGGTGGTGTGCACAGATATGTCTCTGGTGCGTTGTTGTGTTAGTGATGATGGTGTTGGTGGTGGTGTGATTGCAGTAATGGTGAAGACCATAAAAAAAGGAACAGAAAAGGCAATATAGAAAGTTCAAACAAAATTGAAAAAGATTCACTTGCTATTAAAACTACGTCTTCTAAACAAACTAAAATCAGAAAATCCGTAGGTTTGCAAGATAGGCCCCTTACCAAGCCTCTTGATTTCTCTATCCATTTGACCAAGCATTAGGCCAAACATCTTCCAATCACATAGTAGAGACGAGAAGGGATGCCCAAAAGTTGCTAGAACATTCTTTTCAACAAAGAAATGGCTATACCACGGCAAACAATACCCAAATAAGGGCACGAAAATTAGGCACCGCCAGTTGAAGAACATTGAGTATACCAAGCACAGAATACTACACAAAGTGCCAACAAAATGCCAACATCTTGTGGCTGGTTTTAAGTGCTGGTTCATATAGAACTGCCAAAATTTTTCATGCTTCTGAAATTTATAGCGCTAAAGCAATATGGGCTATTCCCGAATTAGAATTTCGATGAAAATCGAAGATTTGAAGAAATCTCAAGATAAGCCCAATAGAAAATCCTAATTCTTGGTTACAACACTAAATTCTTTGATCTCTAAAAGACCCAGAGTTGCTAGATATGCTTGCTCAAATTTTTGGGAAAAACAATTGCTTGTTAGCCAGGCCTTCAAAATAGTGACTTGTCGTTTATTTTCATTGCGAGTGATAACCTTAGGCACATTCGCCCTCTGTTCATCATCACTCAATGCCCTAAAATTAAATTCAAATAAAATAGTTAACATAGTACATTTAAACAAAATCGAAGAGATGAGTTCACAAATGGAGTTCTCATTTTGTAACATTATTGATTTACTGGCAAATTTAGGCCCAACCAAAGTGGGAAATATGTTTGCATAATTTTTTGATAGATTTCAACTTTCCTGCCTTAATATAAATTTCCGTGCTTGTGAATTAAAACCTAAAAACAAAAATCTATAATGAATTTACTTTAAAAACATTGAAAGAGTGAATAAATTAAATCTTGAAAAAATTCACATACATCTTAGCAGAACCTGCATGTTGACCTCTTTATCTTTGTCCTGAAAATTCGAGTTCTACTCAGACCCTCTTGAATTAGACATACGCCTCTCAGGCCGCAGCGTAAAAAAGGGTGATGAAGATGGCAAAACCCTTGTTCCCACTTTACGAAAATGGTTTGGCATCAGTGACATCCTCCTGTTTTCTTCTCAAGTCCTTCAAAACCAAAAAACAATTCAGAAGCTCAAAAATTTTAATTAGAAAATGAGAAATTGAAAAGAGTGCTCCGTGGGTGAGAGTTGTCTCTCGGAGACCTCTTATGAAAAAAAAAAAAAAAACAGATTATGTTATAAAAAAAATGTCATGATTTTAGGACAGAATAATCATCTATCTTAATAAATGAATTCCAACTCAATAATCCCATTTTCCGGCGATGCATGCCAATTGGATCCCATCAATTAAACCACCATCTTCATTTTTCATGTCTTTCCGATAAAATCTAATCTAAGATGTCCATTATTTTTGAAGAAATTCATAGATTCATCATTACATTTTTCAAATAGAAAATTGGTATTATGAAGTATTGGAATCACTATAATGTATTCCAGAATCTTTGGTCACACATTATAAATTTAAAAATAAGAGCATTATTGTGCTAAATAGTTAATCAATACCATAAGATCAAAGACGATATTATCCTTTCAAATTGTTGTTATAAATCCAAAATTCTGACCGCCCGATTAAAAGTTTCAACAAAAGGAACGATCATATAAAACCGAAAATAAAAGAAAGAAAGAAATAGAACTATGTCTATGAAAACATCGAATTAAAAATAACCGCACTATTTTCAAAACTACACAAAGTTGAGGATACCCAATTATAAATACCTTAGAGAGAGTACGATTGCTGAGGATGGGAACAAGGCTAGATTCAGTGGAATCCAGTTTGAAATCAGTTGCGGGAACTTCGAGCAGCGCAAATAGCGCAGAGATCCGACGACCCCACTGCCGTCAACCACCACTCCGCCAACCATAAAGCCGCCAACGACCACCGGAACCACACACCCCGTTTCTCAGAGCACAACGAAAACTATTAACACCAGAATGTGAGTTGACATTTTCAATAGAGAAGAAAATTTAAATAATTAAAATAAAACTATGATAAATGACGATACTCTGTGATAATAAAACAAAGTAGCATAGTTAATGTTAGTATACATTATAGTATACGGGACTTGGGTCACATCAACTCATCTACAAAATGAAAATGGATATTCATGCAAGCACACATTATACATCATGCCTTAATTTTATTTATTTTTTGTTGAGTAAAGCATTGATAAAGTGGAATTGTAACATACCAAGTGAACAGATTACTTCATTTGCACAATCTTTATTGTATTTGTTCTGTTTCATTGGATGATGAATTGCACAACCTGTCACATAATCAGACAAAATCCTTAGTTTTCCGCTTTCATTGGCTATCTTAAAACGCAAGCTTGGTGTAGATTTTGTACAACATTCTTTTCATCATATCCCTTGTTGAAATTCTGGTCAAGATTTGGTGCACAATATCTCCCATGGTTTTCTTTAGTCATATATTAAAGAATAGTGTAGAGAGACAATTAAGCACCAAGCATTGACAAGACAAGGAAATTCGAAATTTAAAAGAAATTTTTTTTTATAATCTTACACAGGTATTTAGCCATGTGACATCAACCACTTCAATTTAAAATACACAAGTAATAGATACAAATGATACATTCATATGAGCTGTTAAAAACTAAGATAAATGAAAAGATAAATTCATATGTGCAGTTAAAAACTAAGATAAATAGAAAGGATATTCATTTTCACAAAAATCAAAGCTGATTACACCTTTTTTTTGCTCAATCAAAGGATGTTTGCAAGGCATTGGCTTTAACATTGACAAATTGGAATTTTATTTGCATTTAAGAAATCACAACAAGAAAGAACTGTGAAATGTTTCTTTTAGAAAGAACGAATGAAAAATTGTATTTCGTATCATAGATTTTACCTTCAAACAAAAGCCAATAGTGCAACTTTCTCAAACCACGCAAAACAAATACTTGATCGACCAGGGACATGTCGCCTTCTGTACAAAATACAATAGAGGTAGAGGCAATAAGTTCTTTATAGCAAGAAATAAAAACTGAACTAAAATTGACTTAAAAATATTTACTCGAAAGAAACAAAATTACAAGCGATAGTTCAAAGAGCCAAAATATAAATTGAAAGCCAAAATAGAGAAATTGAACAAAAGATTAGAAAAAGTTAGTAATTTTTACTTATTTACAAATTTCATTGAAATAATTTGAAACACACAATAGAGCATGGGTATGAAACGTACGTATGATTGGAGATATGCATAGGAGATTATAATATAATTTTTTTCCTTTTAAGGTTTGATTTGATTGTGAAGAAAGAAATTGATCTAAAAGCAGAGCATGTATTAAAGTTGAAACATAATATTGAATAACAAAAAAGAAAAATTAAACAAAAGATCAATAATTATTGTAAATTATCCTAAAATGCGTGAATAATAAATAAGTAAAATTTAACTTTAGAAGCAATTAAAACTACAAAAGTGTTAATTAATGCAACAGATAAATGTGTAATGGAAAAAGTTAAAAAAGCATAACATTTAAATTATAGAACGGTTTAATAGATTTACTAACCTTATTGAGAAATTATTGATGCTAACCGTCATCAAAATACAATAATTTGCTCCTTTATAAAATGTGACTCCGACACTTTGAAATCTCATGTAATTAGTAGTGTTTCATGTTTGCTATCGAACAACCTACATTTATTCCTATGTACAGAAATATTTAAAATAAACAATTTTAAAGTTGTGAATATAAAATTATACATTGAATTTTAATAAAAGAGTCTTACTGTATTTTAAGAATCTTACTACATTTTGATAATTCGTTAGAATTGGGACAAATAGGGACGTAAAAAATATTCATTGTAACAGATATCTGTTGCAATTTTTTGTCTATATAAACTTATATTTTTTGGTGAAACTGATTTTAATGGATATCCGAAAACAAAGCATTCTATGTATTTGAGAAGGAAAATTCCAGAATTTGGCCTATAGAAAAAATAGTTTGAAGTTAGATTATACTAATATTGTAAATATAAAATAAAATTAAATGGAAAATTAAATATTATAGTAAATTGTTGAGATGCTTACCCATTCTTTTGACAAGGTAGATCCGGTATGATTTCCAATTTCATATGTTTATTTCTATGTTTTTTTAAACTTGGTTTGCTGAAGAAAATGTCTGCAGAGATTAATAAATATTCCACTACAGTTAATACTGGTTCTGCACGTTCTCTGATTTCTTTTGATGTATGAATGTTGTGGGTGCAATCATATATATGAAATCTTCACTTTCGAAAATCAACAAAAAAAGAAACCAAGTGTTGCCTGGATATGCTACTGGAATTAATAAATAATTGTATGTTATCCACGGTTGAGCAGATACATGCAATTCTTCTTTTATGTATTGTTATAATGCATTGAAATTAGTTGTAGAATGGCCAGTTCCTTCTTTCATATTTGTATACCAATGAACACATTCAATTTTGAATCTAAGGTCCATGATTGCATATTTTTTAGAAAGCAGGGGAGAACCGTCGGTAACAAGTTTTCTCAATAGCTTTAATTCTATATCAATATGCTAGTAAAAAAAAATGTAAATTAGATATATTAATAAAGGAGAAAATTGAATTATGATCACTAAATTTTACTTACCACAATATTTATATTTTTCGTGTCATCTAATATATTTTCTAGCGATTGTCTTCCGTATAGATTGTCGATTTCATCGTTCCAATATGCGCTGTATAAGAGAATTTGAATTAGTGTTAAATGAGTAAAATACAAATTATAATATTGAAGTTAACAAGGTAAAATTGAATATCTTACTCTGATGAATTTTGTAATATCCACTCTCTAATGTTTTTGTACTTGTCGATATTATAGTCTTCTAAAGTATTAGTAGGCATTGTTGATGAAGATTGTGTCTGTTTTTGCTTACCTTTTTTTTTTCTTTCATCGACCTTTCCACATCTTCAATATGTTCAGATGTTGAAGGGATTTCGAATTCAATTGGACTTGTATGAGCAGGTAATTCTCGTTGTATAGAGCTGACAATCGTTTTCATGTGTGATTTCCAGTTAGATAACTGATTCTGCATACTTTGATTTTGTTCATCAATGTAAAATTTTGCTAAACTAAAACTGGTATCCACATAAGATTGCATGTTAGATTGCGTGCCCTGGAAGTAGTCTTGTTGGCTTTATTGTTGATGTTCGAAAAATTGTTTTTAATTGTCAAGAATCATTTGGCAGTGAGCTTCTTGCTTTTCAAGAATTGCATGATAGCGAGTTTCTTGTTTTGTTGATTCTTCAGTCATTTGTGTTTTTAATCTGTCATAGAAACCAAATACATGTGACACTACTTGTTGTCTGTATATGTTGAACATCTGATTCATATCTTATTTAGTTACATAGTTTGAGTTACCAGAAGAAGTAGATTCAATTCCAACTGAAGTGCCTATAGTTTTTTCTTGCATATGAATGTTATCAGTTGGAATTTGTTGTGCTACATTGTCGAATTCACCATTGACAATATCATCTAGTATACGATGTTGGTTGTCCGTCGGTAGTGAAAGATTTGTTTACCAGAATGTTTCAAATTCTTCTTCAATAGGATTTAGTACTGCAATTACTTCAGTCTATAATTGTAATAAAATATTAGATTTATGTTTTAAAATTAATTTATAAATAATTAAATACATATTTAATTGTAAATTGAAATAAATCATACCTCTTGAGTAGCAAAAAATTGTTTAATGATTTGTTCCGTTAATACTATTTTGGGCTTCCATTTATGTATACGTGGACACTGTAAGCTTTTACGGGTACGACGTCCGAATTATCATCCAATTTGAGGAAAAGCTTCATATATCCAATATTGAAATAAAAGTAAAAATAAATATTAAAGTTTTAATATGATTAAATTATATGAAACAGGAAAAAATAAAAGAAAAATACCTGGAATGCAAGTGAATAACCATGTAACGAATATTTACAATCTGTTTGGTCATTTTGTTATGTCCTTCGTACTCTTTCGATGTGTGATTCTTTCAGTGAATTCAATAAAACAAAGTATGCCTTACGTCCCCATGGATATATAAGAAACTCATCAAGTTGTTCAATCATCCAAGAGTTCTAAAATTGATGTACCTTCGATTTGGTTTTAAAACGCATTCAACAAACATAACTAATCCTAACTTGAATTTATCTTCTCGATCTTGACACATGTGGAATACTTCAGAAAGTCTTTTCATAGTAATTCTTTTTGTAACATTGAAGTATTCATCTCTAAGTCGAGTATTACTAAAATTGAAATCAACAACAATTTCATGGCATGGTAATCCAGTGATTAGACAAAATTATTGCGTGCTAAAACGGGCCACATGATTGTCTAATCGTACCCAAATTTCATTATTTTTGCCTCGATAAGTCTCATTATGAACTCATGTATTAATTTGCTACTAAATTTTCATTTTGTTTTTTATACATACTTCCATAGATAAATTCGTGAAAGTGACTGCATATTAAAGAAGCTTGATCTTCTCCATCTATAATATGTATTCTAACGACATCTGCAAAAATTATTAAAAAAAAACTATTCATTAATCATAAAATATATGTATATGTATATATATACTCAAACAAGCATGAAACGTATGCTTGCATATTCGTCCATAGGTCAAATCAGATATGTAATTATTGGAATAATTGTTGGAGACTTAAATGGAAGCTATAAGTAATGCAACTATGAATCTCATGGAGAGTTCGATCCTGGTTCAGGATGAACGCTGGCGGCATGCTTAACACATGCAAGTTATATATAAATTTAACTTAATTTTCGTACATGGAAATAAAAATTTACATGATAGGAATCACATATTCTTAATAATAAAGAACCCTAGCATTGAATATTTTGTTAAAGCACATACATCTATTTACATTCTTTGGTTTAACTCTCAGTCTAACTTACTCAAAAAATTCTTCATCAATGGTTATTTTCCTTAATGGAACGTTGAGTACTCCTAAAAATGTGGTTGTTCGAAAACACTTAGGTGTCTATTTGCAATGAGGAATTTGAGTAGTGAAACTTCAAGGCATTGTACTGCTAAATAATGCTTTAATAGATATTTCATTAACTCAAACTCTGTAGAATTCAAAAACTCCTTAACATAACTTAATACTACATGTAGTTATGTTCAATATTTTCAAAATCTAGAAGCTTATCCTCCATATGTATGCTTTTGATAGTACCTAGATTTTTCTCGTCCACTTCCAAGGAAGGAAGTGAATAATATAAAAATG